GCGACATTTACCCACAGAATCACAGAGTCACTAAGCTTGGAAAAGACCTTTGAGATCACTGAGTCCAACCACAAACTCTTCAACACACTCACTGCTAAACCATGTCCCTAAGAGCCTCACTTACGCGCTTCTTGAATAAAACAGGACAGACAAAAATACAGACAGTGAGTCAGACTCAACTTTGCCAAATTCAGCATTGCATCTAATGCCATTAAAATAAATTCCCTGGTTAATACAGGGAATTTTTATATTCACAGTCACTCTCTGATACACTGTACTGTCAATGTGCAAAATGGAAGATATTCAGGGGTGGGTGAAGGATGCCTTAATACTCTGGTGTGTCATCTAAGGCAGGTGCAAGTGCCTGCCCGTGCCAAAGTCAGGTTCATAGCCAGCATCTGAGGCTATTTTAGTCTCCAACAAGTAAATCCCTGCCTGGAGATGCTAGTGATGTTTCAGTGATGCACTAACAAATATTGCCGAGAGAAGTAAATGTCAAGATGCTAAACTGGTTATGTAGTCAGTTAGAATCAATACTACAAAGCTAACATGGGATGTTGTGCCTAAAGGTTTTACTTTTCTGAAACCACCAATAAATTCTATAATGTAAGCCATATTTTTTGGTATAGAGTCCTAATGATATTTTATAAACTAACGTGGTGTGGTCAAATGCAGAGTCACAGTTTAACTCCTAAATTTTCAAACTTTTGACTTTGCACAGGTTATATACAGTAACTTAAAATGCAGTTCTGTGGTTAAAACTTTGAATTTCATCTGATGAATGGCTGACTAAAGATGTCCGAGCTGCAACAGCCATCACATTGTGAAAGCTGCTAAAGCAAAACAGTTAGGAGATAATAAAACAGTTAGTAAGATGTCATTCCAAACCCCACTCCATGTTAAGGGCATGCAGGCTCACATCAAACTGAAAATCTAGCAATTGTCTTCCTTTCTCCTCTATTTGTAGATGGGTAATTTTGTAAAATATTCAGGACACTAATGATATATAGAGAGCTATTGAGGAAAAATGATGCCTCAGAAAAATTCCACTTGTCAAAGTGAAAGGCAATTCATTAGAACTCTTTTTTTTTTTTTTTTTTTTTTTTCAAATTACTTAGGTTTAGCCAGTGAAAGTTTTTTAGGGAAACATTAGGGGGGTAGAATTAAGATGATAATTACGACAAAGCAATTACATTCCTTTGTATTTTATACTAATATACTAGTAGGCTATGTTGATAAGGCTATGCTTTAAACCATTGAAAAAGATATCATCAAACTAAATGTATTATAGATTCCAGTTTCCTAATGTAACTGTATCCATACCAATGGATACAAAACAGTACAGTACAGTTCCAGTTCAGTTATATCAATCAGAGATCACATTTTTTCCTATCCCTTCTTGATTTAATTACGTTGGTATTAGTGTCTGTAAGCATAGCTTTAATTTCCTTTACAGACTTTGCTCAGAAGGTCTGTGACACAGACACATGACATAGAAGATGTCTTATGTCTATATTCCTAAGAGTTTGGCATTGGTTACACATGTTTATGTTGGAGAAACAAGTTTTACTTATCTCAAGCCTACTTATGAAGTAGCAGTACTTTGGCTAATGACACACAACTCTGCTGAGAATGCCCTGAGACGCTCAAGAAGAGCTCCCAGAATTATCACTATGCTAATATGATTTGAGACATATATATATATTATTTATAGGTATATATAAATAATAAACCTCTCTGGAGGTCTTCAAAACCCGCTTGAATGCCACCCTGTGCCACATGCTCTAGGTGTGCCTGCTTGAGTGGGAAGGTTGGACTAGATGATCTCTAGACGTCCCTTCCAACCTTGAATATTCTGTGATTCTGTGATTATTTATTGTACATAAGGATATCTCATCAACTACCTTGTGAAGCAATAAGCAGCCTTTCATGGTAAACCATGCAAGGAATGGTGTTGCTGAAACAAAACAAGCAGGAATAACGTTTCCTCTGTGACTTCTGCTTAGTAATATATAGGACCCGTGGATGGGGACTCTGTGCTGCGGGGTGTTTGCCCTGGCCTGGCACATTGTCCTTGAAATGAGCTCTCTGGTAACAGAAACCTTGTGCTGCCCAGCCGCGCTGTGACCAGCGGCTGCAGTGAGGACATACGAGATAGGGGACAATCAGAAAAGAGAATCAAAACTCCACTGAAGACCTCCTTTAGAGCAGGTTTAGTCTAGCATTTTTCGCCCTGTACAGTACATATTCCACAGCAGTTTTGGAAGGAGTATCACATAAATGTTAACATCAGCTTAAATGTTAGTACCAGATGAAAGCTCTCATTTTTTAATGTACAGGGGAATTTGTTATTGCCCCAGTCAATAGCTATCGACTTGGTAGAGCTCTTCTGCTTATTACCATCAAATCCTTTCTCTTTTTCTGTTCAATAGCCAATAACATTGTAATGCAAGGTTCTGCTTACAAACTGCAGTGTATCTTAACACCTGCTAGAACTTCATGACTAATGATTATATATAGGAAAGCATGTGCTAAAAATATCATTATACTTCTATTAATCAAACTTACTGCATCTGATATGTCTTTATAGGTTACTGGAACTGTAATGAACAGCAGATAAATAGTTTCTGCCATTGTTAATCTTTTAATAGAAAACACCTCTTAATCATGCTATCATTACAAAAATACGTTGACTAGGACAAGGTCCTGTCTGATTTTATAGAACACCTTTTATTCATAGGAAACTTCTGATCCTGTTTGGCCTTTGCAATTCAAGATGCTGCATTTAGGAAAAATGCAAGGTAGCTATTCTGCCTCCAGCTGAAGCCAGGAAAATGAAAAACACGGAGGGAGCAGAAGAGCATTAAAGCAACATTGTAAGATAAAGTGGCAAAAGATGAGTGCATAGCAGAGCACACGTGCCACATGGCTAGCCTGCCTCCTAGCATTTTCTCTGCTCTATATTGCACACCTTCATAGTCTATACTTCATAAAATGTGCACTTGACAGGCCTTGGGGTGAAATTTTTGCTAATCCATGTACTTTTTTTCATTCTATAACTATGGCTGTGTAATTCAAAAAAATTACCTCTCTGCCCCAAAACCATATTGCTCAACTTTTTCTATTTATTTTACAACTGATATGATACATATTTTTATGAGATTGTGTAACTATCACAGTAATATCTCCTCTTCTTACATTACCTCTCAACAAACATTCCAAAAACAGTACTAAAGTGTGTTGACTCCTTAGAGAAAGACACAACAGTTAATGATGACTCCTTGACTTAAACTTGTCTATAAGCACTTTCTTGTAGAACAGAAACAAACAATCTAATGTTGGAGCACTGATTTATCTGTTTGTTTCTCTCTTCTTAATGCATACTTCATTTCTCTCCAGACTGATGATGAGATGTTACAGAAAGAAAATTTATAAATGTGGCAAAGATTAAACAATCATGCCATTGCCAAGTACATTACACTGTACTCTATGTACCATCTAATTGGATTTAAACAGTGTTCGTAAATCACAGCCTCTAGCCATTTCCAGAAATGAGACACACTACTAGATCAAGCAGCAAAACAGGACATGGATTCTCATTTACTTGTGATACTGGTACATAAACCACCCAGAGTGGTGAAACTGGTGGAAGTTACTTGTTGTTAGACTGCTCATTATGAAGCAAGGAGTTGATTTAAATTAAGTTCCTACATGTTTACTTCTCTAAGAAAGATACCCAGTGCTGCTCAGACAGTGATAACTTGTGTTGCTGTTCATGGTCAGCAGAGCAGTCACTGACTGGAGGTCAATGCAGACTAAACCACATCTTGCCAGAAGGTTGTAATGCAATGAATTTCTAACAATCAAACACTCCTAAATATTAAGGAATTTATCCTTGCAATACTGTATGAAGTAAAAAAGATTTTTTGATCTTCTCTATCTTAATTTAGAATAATAGATAAATTAATTTGCACAAGGTCATCCTGTATCTATGGAAATTCTGTTCCAGTGACATGAGTTCAGGAACTATAATTTCCTCTTTATTCTAGTAGGTCGTGTTTTCTAAACATAGCTTTGAGCATTGTAACAAGGTGAAAACAGAAAACATTCAAGCAAGTTTATTTTATCTTTTGTGAAGGTAAGGGGATGTCATTGTCCTCCACAAGCAACGCAGCATCTTGCCACAAGCTCTAAATCCACTTTAAAAGAGAAACATAAAGCACTGCAAACTGGCAAACAACATGGCTGGGCGGAGGCAAGCAGTGATTATGAGAAGAGAAAGCCTTGGGAGCTTCATAATTCAATACTGCAAAGTTGGCATTAAAGAAATTCCATGCATCTTAATAAAACTTTCACTTAACACTTAAATGATCACTACATATTTCATCAGTACAGGGAAATTCATCAACACTCAGCTAAAAATAATAAACTTCAGAGACAAGGGACTGGCAGCCAGAACAGGTATAAAGATATTTCATATTCTGGAATTTTAGTGAGTCATTTGCAAGCGTACAAGAAAAAATAAAAGAGTTAACCTCTTATTTTTTTTCTGTAAAATAAGAAATTAAACCCTTCTGGTATCGGTATTTATAAAATACAACAGAACTAAAAGTGAGTTCTTCTGGGAAAAGATTAATACAGTCATCTCTACAAGATGATTTGACTTCATTTTCAGCTCAGCCTCATTTAGGTTTCTCTACTGTATTCTATCTACCCATAAACAAATTCTGCGATTTTATAAGAACCTGCATAGTTGTGGATATTTTTCTGAATGTGGAGGATTTTTATTTCATTTTTATTTATAAAAAAAATAAGGTCACACTTTTTGTAGCACAGTTCCAGACTCTGGATAGTATCTGCTATCCCTTTATGATTTGGTTCATTTTTGAGCATTACTATCCATACTTGAATATGGAGGTAATTCTTAATTTTGACCCTAAATGCTATGGAGAAAAAACAAACAAACAAAAAACATAAAAAAGCTATAAATGGTAACTTACTTTTTGTAACTACTCCTTCAAGGCGGATTATGTTTGGGTGATCAAATTGTCCCATGATACTGGCTTCTCTCAAGAAATCTCTTCTCTGTCTGTCCATGTAGCCACCTTTTAGTGTTTTAATTGCAACAGGTATCTCTCTCTTTCCTGGTGTCTTCAGACGTCCACTGCATACTTCTCCAAATTCACCTTAAATACATAAAAACTTCTGTTAGATAATCCACAATACCCGGAGATCTACAGTAGCTTGAACTTAAATAATGCTGTCTTTTTCTAGTAGTTCAGAGTTGTTCATAGTAAGCAGTGAAACAAGAACACAAAATATTCAAGAACACAAAATATTCTGTTTCATAGAGCAGAATGGCATTCACAGAATCACAGAACCACAGAATGGTTGAGATGTGAAGGGACCTCTAGAGATCATCTAGTCCAATCCCCCTGCTCAAGTAGGGACACCTCTCTGCCCAACTCTCCAGCCTGCCCAGGTCCCTCTGGATGGCAGCACAGCCCTCCGGAGTGTCGGTCACTCCACCCAGCTTGGTGTCATCTGCAAACTTGCTCAGGGTGCCCTCTGTGCCCTCGTCCAATAACTGATGAATAGGTTGAACAGCACCGGGCCCAGCGCTGGCCCCTGGGGGACACCACTGGCCACAGGCCTCCAACTGGACTCGGCCCCACAACATCACAGGGTTGTGATCAACCTTCTGAGCTCTGCCATTCAGAGAGTTCTCAATCCACCTCACTGTCCATTCATCTAACCCACACTTTTGGAGCTTTCCTACAAGGATGTTTTGGGAGACAGTGTCAAAAGCCTTGCTGAAGCCAAGGTAGACAACATCCACAGCTCTCTGCTCCTCTACCCAGCCAGTCATCCCATCATAGAAGACTATCATCAGGTTGGTCTAACAGGACTTCCCCTTGGTGAATCCACGCTGACTACTCCTGATCACCTTCCTTTCCTTCACATGCCTAGAGATGCTCTCTAGGATGAGCTGCTCCATCACCTTTCTAGGGACAGAGGCGAGTCTGACGGGCCTGTAGTTGCCCGGCTCCTCCTTCTTGCCCTTTTTGAAGACTGCAGTCATGTTAGTTTCTTCCAGTCCCCTGGCACCTCCCCTGCTCTCGAGGACCTCTTGCAGATGATGGAGAGCGGCTGAGCAACAACCCCCGCCAGTTCCCTCAGCACTCCTGGGTGCATCCCATCAGGGCCCATAGCTTTATGGATGCCTAGTTTGCCTAAATAATCCCTAATGCAATCCTCCTCAACCAGTATCTTTCTCCAAGATAAGAATGCACTGATTCTTATCTTGGAGAAAGTGGATGTCCCCGAGGAGGTAAAAGTTAGCTTGCTTGAAGTCCAGGGTTGCAATCCTACTTCTTGACCAGCTGCCCTCAATTTTGCGGGATTGTGAATTCCAACATCTCATGGTCACTACAGCCAAGACTGCCCTCAACCTTCACATTTCCAACAAGATCATCTCTGTTAGTATCAGGTCTAGCAGTGCCCCTCTTCTTGTTGTCTCATCTATCACCTGCATTGAAAAGTTATCTGAAGTATTTTGCAGGAACCTCCTGGACTGTCTGTTTCTAGCTGTGAGGTCACCCCACCAGACATGAGGGTGGTTGAACTCCCCCATGAAGACCAGGGCCTGTGCTCATGAAGCTACTTGCAGTTGCCTCTAGAAGGCCTCATTTACTTGCTCTTCCTGGTCTGGTGGCCTATAGTAAACACCTACTACCTTTGTTGCTTCTGTTGGCCTGCTGGTGAGAAATAAAGCAAGGGATATTCAGGTTCCCAAGTTCCTCCACAGCCCAGTAGGCAAAACATTCAGCATTACTTCACAGGAAACAGTCATCTTTCATTTGTATCTTTACCGCAGATCAGGGAGACTTGGACTTTCACTGTTACAGCCAAGTCATCTAACCTCTACCATGTGGTTCATCTTTGCTTTGCTGACACTTTGAAACTCAACTTTGATATCAATATGCTTGCAATATAACTGAGCAATGCTATGAGGTGGTAATGTAACAAAGCTTTGATTTTAGCTATCATGATGACAGAATATGTATCTATAGATAATTCTAAGGGATGTCATTCACAAAGATCTTCATTGAAAGAAATGCAGTGAGAATGTCAGAATACTTGACTTTCCTCTAAATGCAGAAAGTATGTTAAAAATATACTTAATACTATTATGGCCCAGAAAAGCACTTGAACGTGATTTATTTAAATGGAACTTATATGCCTACTTGAAATTAATGACATATTTCAGTGTTCTGACACCCAAAGGCCAACAGTTTCAGCAAATCAGGATTGAGCTGCATAACAAGCAGAATCCCAAAGCTTGCCTGCCTGTGTAAGAAAGGGCCTTTGAAGAATGCACGTCTCCTCACATTCCCTTTGGACATTTACTAGTTAAGTCTGTATGTAAATCACAACTTTCCTTTGATCTTGAAGCCACCCAAAAGTTATTTAACACCCATACCAAATATACTCTGGATGCCTGCAGGTCAGTTTTCAGTGGGTCATAATTCAGCTAATCAAAATCAATGTTCATAAAGTATTTCAAAGCACTTCTCAGTGAGGGGTACTTCCATACCTAAATTAAATTCTCTATCCCAGCCATTTTGGGATCGGAACTGACTGCTGAAAAACAAAAAATAATCATAAACACAATTTCCTTCTCCCTCTGCTGAGTGCTGTCTGAACAAAACAAAAGAGCTCTATCACATAGAAGTATCTTTAAAAATAAACTGAATGTAGAAAAGATAGGTATGAGACACATAAGTTTCACTTCAGAAAATGTAAACTCTGATACTGTAGGATCAGAATTATCATATAATCTATTTTATCAGGCCTTGTCACTCACACTATAAAACAAAACAACGTTTTATTACCCAATATGATCCAGAAGGAGAGCAGGGATTAGAAAACCCATCTCATCACTTGTCTTCTGTTTCAACACATAGATGTCAATAAGGACAAGAGAACAATTAACAGACGTTGAACATAACCTCTGAATGCTTTAGTAGCTAGCAAAGGTCAACTGTTAAGTTTGATAGAGCTTTTATCTACCAAAAAGACCCTATTTGTTTTTATTAACCTAATCTTTGCAAGTAAAACAAAGTTATGTGCTTCTCTCAAAATTTATCCATATGTGTGGAAATGCATGTCAGCAGATTGAAAATCTGGGAATCTTAGGACAAAAGGAAAAGTTGATCTGCAATTTTTCTATATGATTGATCCCTTTTACCTTTTAGAAGGCTCTGCTTAAAAGTTTATTTGACTAACTCTTGCCATAGAAGAAGTAGTACATGACTTAGACTTCTAAAATTACACAATAAAACAATCATGAAACCTGAATGTTTTGAAGGAGAAATCATATGTCAGTCTTCTATTTTTGTGATATATCCAGGAGTGTTCAAACTCATCTTGAAAACAGGGACTTTACATTTCAGGTTCATCAGGCTAAAATGCCAAAATTGGAAAGTCCTCCATTTTTTGACTTCTAATGAAAAACTAATGTCAAGGAAAAGTAACAGAATCTTAATATCAATTTTTAAAGGTATTTAATGACTGGAAATCTCTAGAATTGCAAATTCTTATTTTGAGCAAAATTTTGACTGCTCAGGTTATGTTTTGCTATTATGTGATCATATACGGCAGTACTGTAATTTCAGAATTTCAGAAATAATAACATCTATACCTCAGGGACTGAGAAGGACTGTTCACCAACTGTTCTGAAGTGTGTTAGACTGTTATGGAAGGAGGAAACTAAATGACTTACAATCCCAAGATTTATATTTCAGAATATTTCAGAATATTTAAGGTTGGAAGGGACCTCTACAGATCATCTAGTCCAACCTTCCTGCTCAAGCAGGCACATCTAGAGCATGTGGCACAGGGTGGCATCCAGGCGGGTTTTGAAGACCTCCAGAGTAGGAGACTCCACAACCTCCCTGGGCAGCCTGTTCCACTGCTCTGTTACCCTAACAGTAAAGAAGTTGCTCCTCACCTGGAGACGGAACTTCTTATGCTTCAGTTTGTGGCCATTACCCCTTGTCCTGTCGCTGGCCACCAGTGAGAACAGCCTGTCCCCTTCCTCCCTGCATTCTCCCTTCCTGAACTTATACATATTAATCATGAGGTTCCTCTCTGCCCAACTCTCCAGCCTGTCCAGGTCCCTCTGGATGGCAGCACAGCCCCCCGGAGTGTCGGCCACTCCACCCAGCTTGGTGTCAT